AAAAACTCAACTTTTCAGATAATCCAGTGATCCGATCCAAAAAAATCGGATATCCGAATTTCGGATATCCGAATATTTTCGGATCGGATATGGAATGAGTTTTGCATGATCCGAAATTTTCGGATATCTGATTTTTCGAATCGGATCGATCTGATTGAACACCCCTAGTGACAACTAAATGAGGATTGAGGAAGAGAATAGATAAATTTGGAGGAACAAATGTTGACGAATTGCTTTCTTCTTGGAGTTAATATTGCTTTTTTTTTAACTTGACATAGATTGGCCCACTGCGGGATTCCCTCGAGACAGACTACGATCTTCTTTTTCTTTTTTTTCTTTTTCAAGGTCTTTTTTTTCTCATTTATTAGATCGGGATCTGGAACAAATCTCTTGCACTTTTCTTTATTTCTTCCTATCCCCTTCGGCAATGCTAAATTTTAGTCAAGTGTTTGAATTTTTGAATTAATATACTCTCATACTCCCTCCGTCCCTGAGTATTGTCCACTTTCATTTTTCCACACCATCTAATGTATTTCTTTAATCCATTTTATCTTGTAATTTGTATATTAAAAAATTATAAAAATTATATATTAATAATCTATATGTTAAAACGAATCAAACAAGATCACACCTGACTATGTTTAGGCTTACACATTGAGAAAATTTGATAAGTCAAAGTTCTTAGATGAACAGTTCAAAAAGACAAAAGTAAACAAAGACAATGAGACGGAAGTAGTCTCATTGTCTTTGTCCAATTTTGACTTTTGGAATTATTCATCTAAGTACTTTGACTCATCAAATTCTCTGAATGTGTAAGCCTAAAAATAGTCATATGTGATCTTGTTTGATTAATCTTAACATATAGATTATTAATATATAATTTTTATAATTTTTTAATATACAAATTACAAGATAAAATGAATTAAAGAAGTGCATTGGATGATGTGCCAAAAGGTAAGTAGACAAAGACAATAGGACAATAGGACAGAGGGAATACAAAGCTAATGGGAAAAGTTGAATAGTGCATCTTTTCCCGCCCAAGCAATTACATAGCCTCTTGCGCATGAGTTTGGGGGTATGGGCATATGGGGATCTTTTCTTGGATATTGGGTCACTTTTAGAGGAGAGGTCAAATCCAAATTAATGGTATGGGGCACAAGGCCAAGTCACTTTTGGAGAAGAGGTCACATCCATATTAATGGTGTGGGCCTACGTGAGAATTTTATTAAAGCTTAAAAAAGTAAAGAATCCATCTTTAAATTTATTTTTAAAAAACACTTTAAAATCAGGCCCCCAATTTTATTAAGCCGTGCATTAATACAATTCTGGCTAAAAAAATATTTTTTGAAAATAAAAAAATTAACTTTCAAAAGTTTATAGTTTAAAAAAACACTTTAAAATGAGGCCTCCAATTTTATTCAGCCTTGCATTAATAGATTTCGAATCTAATTTTTTTTATATTTTTTAGAAATAAAAAATTTAAAAAAATTATATTTTAAAAAACAATTTAAAACTCGGAAAAAATATTTTTAAAAAATTAATTTTTATTAAATATTAAAACTGATAAATCAATGCAAAGTTATAGGAGAATTTAAATCTTTTTTTTATTTGCACGATCAGTAATTTGAGACATTGAATAAAATTCATACATTAAATTTTATAGTGTATATAAGGATAACGAAACATTGATGGCAAAGAACTTGGTTGTAGTGAGAGTACGAAACATTGATGGCAAAGAAAATAATCCCAAAATTTTTCGATGCGACCAATGCGAAGGCACCTCAAATGACCCCAAATATAGTGGCAATTCCAACATGGTTCCATCGCCACGGGCTCGTCTTTCATTTTGCAAAAATCACAGCCTCGAAGAGAACTTCCAATCACTGATTTATGTGAATAACGTTACAACTTATGATAAAAATTACTCCCTCCGTCATATATCTTTCTTCCCAGTTCGCAAAACGAAAAAAAATCTCAAGTTTTTTCAATCTATTTTGTTTAAATATTGGTATACAAATAAAAAATAAAACATACATATTTAAAAACTACATCAAAAGTTCAACAAAACAAGTGATGACAAGAATATTTTATTTTATCATATAAGCCATGAAAAAACACAAATAAATATAAATTCCCGTGAAGTTGGAATAGTACTATGAGAAGAAAGTTTTAGGACGGAGGGAGTATATTTTTACCTTTAAAATATAAAAAAAATAAGAACAATTATCCATTTACAATCAAACATATTGCTCAAGGATCTAGACAAATTCAATGAAATAGGATAAGTTAAAAAAATCAAAAAATTTTAATTTCTTTGGTTGCCAAATCCATACTCCCTCCGTCCTACTGTCTTTGTCCACTTACCTTTTAGCACACCATCCAATGCACTTCTTTAATCTATTTTATCTTGTAATTTGTATATTAAAAAATTATACAAATTATATATTAATAATCTATATGTTAAGACGAATCAAACAAGATCACACATGACTATTTTTAGGCTTACACATTAAGAGAATTTGATGAGTCAAAGTGCTTAGATGAACAGTCCCAAAAGTCAAAAGTAGACAATGAGACGGAGGTAGTAGTTTTCATTAAAACCCAGAATTTAAATTTCAAGCCCACTGTTTTCCTTAAAACCCAGCCCACTCTTTTTTATAATCCATCAGCCCATTTCATTATTGAAACCTTCTTCATCACTATGTTCATACGGCATTTCAAGGCTTAGCCTCAAAATTCACTTTTATTCCTCTTAACCGTGTTCATCTCTCTAGAATTCTCTGAAGGGTGCGATGTTTCATCCTATATCTCGCAACAACGCTATGTATCTCAGAGTTTATTGGTTCCGATCTATCCTGACAGCGTTTGCTGGAGTGCATGAATTTGTAAAGGGAGATTTAGATGCGAGATCGGGGCATGTTTTCCACTGGTACGTCTTTCAAATAAAGGTTAATGGGTTTTGAATTCTGAAATTTTATTTGCATGCAAAGGATTATTAAAAGTCTATCACATTTCTATGGTTTTGCATCACGAAACAATTGGATCTGGATATTTTTGTGATGAAGAAAATCTTATGTTTTGGAAAGATCTGGTTTCCCAAAAATGTAGATATGGGTTTTCGTTTGGATAAGAAAATCTTATGTATATATATTATAATTTATATTTTTATATTTCTGCCTCAAAGTGCATAGAGAACCTAAATATTGTAATGATAATTTACATGGCTCAAGAAAAGCAAAAGTTAAATCAAAGTACCATGCATTTAATGCTTGCACAACTATTCCATTAAGTAGAAGGGACTCCTATAAATGCATGGTACTTTGATTTAACTTTTGCTTTTCTTGAGCCATGTAAATTATCATTACAATATTTAGGTTCTCTATGCAATTTGAGGCAGAAATATAAAAATATAAATTATAATATATATACATAAGATTTTCTTATCCAAACGAAAACCCAGATCTACATTTTTGGGAAACCAGATCTTTCCAAAACATAAGATTTTCTTCATCACAAAAATATCCAGATCCAATTGTTTCGTGAAGCAAAACCATAGAAATGTGATAGACTTTTAATAATCCTTTGCATGCAAATCAAATTTCAAAATTCGAAACCCATTAACCTTTACTTGAAAGACGTACCAGTGGAAACACATGCCCCGATCTCGCATCTAACTCTCCCTTTACAAATTTGTGCACTCCAGCAAACGCTAGCAAACGCTGTCAAGATAGATCGAAACCAATAAACTCTGAGATACATAGCATATTAGCGTTGTTGCGAGATATAAGATGAAACATCGCACCCTTCAAAGAATTCTAGAGAGATGAACACGGTTAGGAAGAATAAAAGTGAATTTTGAAGCTAAACCTTGAAATGCCGTATGGACATAGTGATGGAGAAGGTTTCAATAATGAAATGGGCTGGTGGATTATAAAAAAGAGTGGGCTGGGTTTTAAGGAAAACAGTGGGCTTGGAATTTAAATGTTGGGTTTTAATGAAAACTACTACCTCCGTCCTAGAGTATTTGTCCATTTTCATTTTTACACACCATCCAATACACTTCTTTAATCCATTTTATCTTGTAATTTGTATATTAAAAAATTATAGAAATTATATATTAATAATCTATATGTTAAGACAAATCAAACATGATCACACATGACTATATTTAAGCTTACACATTGAGAGAATTTGATGAGTCAAAGTGCTCGGATGAACAGTTCTAAAAGTCAAAACTGGACGAATACTCCGGGACAGAGGGAGTATGAATTTGGCAACCAAAGAAATTAAAATTTTTTGAATTTTTTTAACTTATCCTATTTCATTGAATTTGTCTAGATCCTTAAGCAATATGTTTGATGGTAAATGGATAGTTGTTCTTATTTTTTTATATTTTAAAGGTAAAAATATGCTCCGTAATTTTTACCACAAGTTGTAACGTTATTCACATAAATCAGTGATTGGAAGTTCTTTTCGAGGCTGTGATTTTTGCAAAATGAAAGACGAGCCCATGGCGATGGAACCATGTTGGAATAGCCACTATATTTGGGGTCATTTGAGGTGCCTTCGCATTGGTCGCATTGAAAAATTTTGGGATTATTTTCTTTGCTATCAATATTTTGTACTCTCACTACAACCAAGTTCTTTGCCATCAATGTTTCCTTATCCTTATGTACACTATAAAATTTAATGTATGAACTTAATTCAATGTCTCAAATTACTGACACTGCAACGCACATGTTAGAAATCTAGTACGAGTATATATCAACAAGAGACCATCAAGAATTGAACTGAATAGGTAGGTAGGTACGTACCAGGCAACTCCCAAGACTCACATTTGTATTTTGTAGAGATCAACTTCAGGGATGACGTCGAGCTCTATAAACCGGCCGTTAATCTTCCGTTTCAGATAGTATGCCACCAGTTCTTCATCCGTCGGATGAAACCGAAACCCCGGCGGCAATTCCGATACCGACGACGACGACCCATCACCCCCACCTCCCCCCATCATCATTATATTCTCTTTTTCACTACTATATATACTTTGATCAATTATACGGAGTATATGATATATCAATTACATGACGTAATAATTAAGAAAAATACTCCGTATTTCATATTAAAGAATTCAAATCTAATAAAATTATTTTTATGTCAATATTCTAAAATTAATGAAAATGGCCGGATTGCTCGGATTTACGTTTTGGCACCCAAATGATGTTAACAAAAATCACCTGAGGAAGCAGCCGTCAAATATGACACGACCACCGTTGGCGGAGGAGCAACTTAGGATGGCCGCCACTGCCGCGTCAAAACAGGCGACGCAGTCAGCGGCGGAGAGGTAGTTTCTGCACTGGACCATGGCATAGACAGGCGGCCCAGTGGTGGCGAAGTGTTTGTTGTTGTTTTGCCGGTGGGACAATAATAGCTGGTTTCTCAGATCTGCAAAGCTGGAGTTGAGTCTCCGGGAGAAATCTGTGGCGTCGGTAGCATTGTACTGGCGGCACCCCTTGTTTAGCTGCTTGGTTTGTGGGCCGCTAACCACCGGCTCCAACAGTGATGCAATCAATACCGCCGCCGTGAACCACCGCCTCCCGGCTGAGTCCCCCATGTCTTTGTTTTATATATGGCCCACCCAAGTGCTGGAGGAATTGAATTAAAGTTTACTCCGTACTACGCATTATTGAAGTCTTATGTCTAAATATTTGAGCTTGAAAACCCCTCGGTCAACCCTTACATATTGAACCAAAAAATTATTAACTCCGTCGCCAATATTCTGAAAACCGGATCGGACATCGACCCAGATGAGGTATTGGGTCAAGGGTTGATCGGTCGAACCGGTCAAACCGAAGGTCAACGACTCGGTCAAACAATGTTTATAATAATAATATTTTATATTATATATTAGATAAAAATATTACAGTAATTTTTTTATGGAAAAATTATCTAAAATAATCCTAACTTTACCTGGTCTTTCAAAAATAATCTCACCTTTCACTGTGATGCATAATAATCCCAACTTTACTGAGATTTGTCAGTTTTGGGTTGCCGTTAAGTTTCTAACGGAGGGTTAACGGAAATTCCCGTTTTTGTCAACAAAATGAAAGTTGCAATTATTTTTGATGAATTTTAATCTTTTTTATTTTTTTTAAATTTTTTCATTTAAATTTTTTAAATTACTTTCTACCTCCATCATCATTTCTTTTTCCTTTTCTAAAGATTAGTTTTAGTTTAAAAATAAAAATAATAGATACAAAAAATGAAAAAATGAGAAATGTAACTAAAATGATACAAAAATAATAAAATAAATAAGTTAATCAATGAAAACTAACTTGAAATTGGTAAAAGTAAAAATTATCTACAATAATTCCAACTTTACCGGATGGCTTGTTCTTTTAAAAAATGAGTAGTACATTAAGACTCCGTATAGTGTGTAAACTGTTAAAACTCACCACTCCGTATATATTTATTTTATTTCTTATCAGTTTCTGTTTAATTTCTATTGATTACATTATTTATTTGATTAATTTTGTATGATTTTAGTTATTTTCTCATTTTCATTATTTTTTATATCTATTTTTTTCTAAGGTAAGAATAATCTTTAAAAAAGAAAAAGAAATGGAGGTTGAAAATAATTCAAAAAATTTAAATAAAAATTTCAAAAAAAATTACAAAACAAAAAATTCATCAAAAATAATCCCAACTTTCATTTTGTTGCCTAAAACGGGCATTTCCATTAACCCTCCGTTAGAAACTTAACGGCGACCCAAAACTGGCAAATTTCAATAAAGTTGGGATTATTATGCATCACAGTGAAAGATGAGATTATTTTTGAAAGACCGAGTAAAGTTGGGATTATTTTGAGTAATTTTTCCTTTTTTTTTCCATCTTGTTTTTAATATCACTGTGCATATGCTATTTCACACCTTTTATTTTGTATTCGATTATTTTTTTTATTATTAAAAATTGATAATGAATTTCTAATAAACATTTAAATAATTGGGTGATACACATATTCTCAAAAAGTAAAGACTAGATAGTGTATTGTTTTATACAATTGACATTTTAAACTTTATATTTGGTTGAATGAAATGATTGGAAAAAAATTAGGATATTAAATTATAAATGCTAAATATTACTTGAGTTTAAAAAAAACAATAATTTTCAAGTATTAAATTTACAGTGTATATTTGATTTTGAAAAAAATTAAATAATTCTTAATTTTTTGAAACTATTTAAAAAATGCATAAAATGATTAAAATATAAATGCACACTTGCAAAAAAAACCTACTTGTATTAGTTTGTATTGTATATCACATTTGTAAAGTAGTATATATTCGGTATATACTATTGCTGCCCAGATGTTGCCACAAAACGTGAATAGCTTCTTTGGCAATAGGCTCTCAAGAGGCTCTTACATTATATGTAGATTGTCATGGGTTCGAAACCAGCCATTCCCCATTAATTGAATTTTTAAAATTAAAAAGTACGGAGTATATTTTGGTCCAAATTTTTAAAATTAAAAAGTACGGAGTATATTTTGGTCCAAACCCGTGAACCGGTCGGATCGGCCCGGGTCACCCGGTTCTCCGAGTTTGGACGGGTCAATTGAAAACTGGGTTTAGCAATTGGATCGGACCGGATTAGTGACTGGGTCACGGTCCAACCGGTTGCACCGGTCGGTCCGGTCCGATTTCCAAAACATTTGAAATTGTTCATCAAAGCATTTTGACTCATCAAATTCTTTCAATGTTTATTAATATATGATTTCTATAATTTTTTAATGGGAACGTCTTAAATGACATCAGTTACTTATACACCAGTTCGTTTAGGGTACCTACAGTGCTCCGTTTGTAAAAACGGCGGTTCCTACCCCCATAACCCTCCCCCTAAATCCCCCACCCCAGCCCCCCTCCCTACCCTGGGAGTACACTGCCTCGCAGTGTACTGCCAGGGTTAGGAGGGGGTGGGGGTGGGGGGCAAGGGTGGGCTGGGGTGGGAGTTTAGGGAGAGAGTTAGGGGAGCAGGAACCGTCGTTTTTACAAACGGAGCACTGTAAGTATCTCAAACGAACTGGTGTAAGCAAATGATACCAGTAGCACTAGTGTCATTTTAGATTTACCGTTTTTTAATATACAAATTATAAGATAAAATTGATTAAAGAAGTGTATTGGATGATGTGTAAAAATGAAATTGAACAAATACTCTGGGACGGAGGGAGTATTTGTTAGTTTTGTTGAAATAACTCCTAAGTTCCTGCATTTTTAATTGGATATCAATTAGTATTATATTTTTTGTGAAGACGGGTGAACATTCCATCCACTATTCTATTAATGACTACTCCCTCCGTTCCCCTGTATTTGTCCACATTTAACTTTTGGAACTGTTCATCTAAGCATTTTGACTCATCAAATTTTCTTAATGTGTAAGCCTAAATATAGTCATGTGTGATCTTATTTGATTTGTCTTAACATATAGATTATTAATATATAATTTTTATAATTTTTTAATATACAAATTACAAGATAAAATGGATTAAAGAAGTGCATTGGATGGTGTGTAAAAATGAAAGTGGACAAATACAGGGGGATGAAGAGAGTATTAAAAAATCTACTCCGTATTTCAGTATTATGTTTTACTATAGTCATTTTAGTTGCATTTATTTTTTATATCAGACACAAATTTATAAGAAAATTCAATGTGTTTTTTTTGTAATATATGGATAAAGTTTAAAAAAATTGACTTTAAAAGTCAAACTAAAAAGTTAATTTTAAAAAGTTGTATTGTCGAAAATTCTTGCTTGCCTCAAGATAATTTTTTTTTTTTTGGATTTTTCATGACAAGAATTTTTTGCATTCAGTCAAACTTGTTCATCCGCAGACCTCACTCCATAAAGGCTTTCTTTCATTAAACCACTTGGCCTTGACAAAGTAGCATTGCCCTATTTCCTTCAAATTTTGTGTTATCTCATGGAATACGGAGTAATATTTTCAGAACGATCCTTCAAAAAAAAATTGGAATGAAATATGTTTCTTTCAAATTTTGGAAGCTAGCAATGGGCAAGGAAAATGCTAAACATACACCAAAGGTCAGTGTACCCCAAATGTCCACCACCCCTTCCTTGTCTACAAAAAAGGCAAAAAATTAAAAAAAAAGTAAATAAAAATAAAATAAAATTGTATGGTTATGAAGGGGTGATGGACATTTGTGGTACACCTGGGTGTACCCCTAGGCCTAGCATCATCCAATGGGTAATCATGCGCGCCTTTGGTATTAAGTGTCTGAAGGAAGAGTCGCATGAGAGATTGGCCCTGGATCAGCTAGCAAGGGCGTGGTCAATCCCACGTGTGTGATAGATCGTGAGTGATTGATAACTAAATTAATTTTTGCCCATAATTGTCGCACGTCGGATCACTTGTGGCGAGAAACATGACCAACACTTACATTCAATGTACTCCGTATGTCATAATACAGAGCCTATCTGTTAGAATATAAATAACCGTTCCTGGGCTACAACCACAAGCTTGTGGTTGAGTTGGTTCCTTGACATGGTATCGGAGCCTCGTTGACTAAGAGGTCACGAGTTCGAAACTCAGCGCCACCCAGTTTAAAAAAAAGAACCCTTAATCTTGACCAATTAAATTATAGTCCCGAATGAGAAAAAACTTATTTAGTGAATGAGTGGTTTACTATTCTTTTTTTCAAAACAATACGCCACAGATTGAATCAGACAATCAATAAAAATTAAAAAATTCAAAAAAAAAAAGTAAGAAATGTTTTTTCTAGAGTATGAAATGTATTATCTTGATCTGTATAAACAACCATCTCTTGACATTACAGAGGAGCTTATATGCAATAACAATGCAAATAATAACCTTAGCTTGTTGAAGAGTAAGTGAATAAAATAAAAAAAACTCTAAAATTGGTAAATTAACTTTAATTTGTTAATTAAATTAAAGCCTGAGTCTGAGATCAGGCGGCACACACTGGTCGTAGTCCTCCTCATCACCATCATCATCACCCTTGCTCCCAAATGGTGTTCCCATTTCTGAACAATTCGTAGCAGCATTTTTCAAGTGATTCCAATTCCCCGGACTAAAAACAAGCCCCGCCCTCGGCCGCCACGGCCTCCTCACCATCATTTGCTGGAACGCGGCGGCGGCGGCATTATTAGTACTGCTGTTATTATTAGACCTGCTGCGCAGGGAGGAGAGCAAAACGGCTGCTCTACTCATTGCTCGCTTGGCGAGGAAGCGTTCCCTCTTATGAGCGTTTTGGTGACCCCCGAGCGCCTGTGAGCTGTAGAAGTTCCGGTGGCAGTAGTTGCACTCATACAATCTGCAGGAAAACGCCGATAATCCTTCTCCCCCCGACGATCCCCGTTCGGTTGCCGTCGCTGTGGATTTGAAGGCCAGAGACAAATCGAGCGAAGACACAGAGCGACAAGGAGGGTTTCTCATGATGAGGCCGAATAATGATGGCGGCTGAGGAGAAGAAGAGGAAGAAGAAAAGGAAGAGTCCATTGTTATGTTTTAAATATACTCCCTCCGTCCCAAAAAGATTTACCCCTTTCAAAAAAATTGTGTCCCACAATCCTCTACCCATTTCTATTAAAAAACCACATTTACCCCTTACTTTTCCAAACCCTACCTATCACATCATACCTTTTTC